TCTGGAGGCTGATTTTCGCTATGCGGCAGTTGCTTAAGATTGGGCGGTGTTCCGGTAAGCAGCTTGAGAGAGTGATTGGGCATGCCACGTTTGTGGGGCTGGGGCGCAGGGAGGTGTTGTCCGTTTTCGGGGAAACCTACACCTACATTCACTCCCACTACTATCATGCCCATCGCCTTTGGCCAAGTGTTCGCAGAGAGCTTGCACTATGGATCTCCTTGTGTCCACTATTATGGAGAGATCTCGCGGCCCCCTGGGCATCGGAGGTGACGGCGGTCGATGCGAGCACTTGGGGGCTCGGCGCTGTCGTTGCAGACTTCACTCCCAACGAGGTGCGGGAGCTGGGGAGATTCTCAGAAAGATGGCGATTCGAGCTGCCGCAGTTTAATAGACCTAGGGCTGCTGCTTTGGGAGCCTCCATGATCGAAGATGACGGTGATGCCGCAGGTTGCAAGTGGGCGCTGGCCACCCAGCATGAGGCTGAGGCTCGACTCCCGCCAATGCAAGTGGTGGAGGAAAAGAGTTTGAAGGAACTGTTTGAGCCTGAGTGGCGGAGGCAGGAAGGGATGCCGGTCTTAGAAGGGAGAGCTTCGCTTTATGGCATCAAACACGCGTTGCGCAAAGTCGATGCTTTCCACAAGAGGCACCTCATTTTATCTGATTCCACTGCCGCTATTTGCGCCCTTGACCGAGGGCGCGGAAGAGCGTTTGGGATGAGAAGGGTTACCCAGCAAGCTGCAGCGTTGTGCTTAGCCTCAGGGGTGAGCTTTCATTATCGTTTTATCCCCTCCGAGTTCAACCCAGCTGATCGACCGTCGAGAGGGTCTTTGTTTCCTAGTCGGCCTCGTGACCTTAATGGTGATCCGCTTCCTCGTCGCGCTTGCGGCCTTGATGGTGATCCACAACCAGGTGCCGGTACCCGAACCTCGGGAGGTGCTGCACCAGGCCAAGGCCAAAGGGGTGGCGCCACGAAGAGGGTCGGCCGCGAGCTCCAGCCAAGCGGTCAACAAAGAAGCGGTGAAGAAAGCGAGAGCTGCCGAGCGGAAAAAGCTGAGAGCGGACCACGCCACACTTGCAGACGCATCGGTGAGTCCAGCTTGTCGGGACCGGTACTCCGTCCTCTGGAGGAAGCTGTGTGCGGAAGCGCAGCTCGATCCACAGGGCATTTACACGGGATCGGACGTCGACTTGCCGATGAGCCAGATGTTGGAGGACATGTTCGACTCAGGGGAAGACCTCTCTCAGGGGGAGTACCTCGTGGCGGCCGTTCAGTTCAAGCAACCCCACCTGAGGGGGACGAAACAGAGCCTGCCTCTGAGTCGCCAGTCCTTAGCGGGTTGGAGAAAGCTGGACCCCCCGAAGTCTCGACTTCCTCTGCCGTGGGAGGTGGTGTGCCTGATGGCTTTGGAGGCTTTCTCTCAGAAGAAAGTCGAGATCAGCCTGTACCTGTTGCTGGCCTTTGTCGCATATCTTCGCCCAGGAGAAGTCAGCCGTCTTCGCGTGTGCGATTTGGTGGCTCCTGTGGGGACTGTGAAGACATGGTCTCTGGTCCTTCACCCTTTCGAAATTGGAGTGCCGTCGAAAACCGCCGAGTTCGACGAGACGATCTTGTTCGACATCAAGCCGATCCAGTTCCTTCCACCAATTCTACATCGCCGGCTGCGCTTGGGGATTCGCCCGAAAGGGGAGTTGATGTTCTCCACGATCGTAGACGAGGTGCGCAAGTTCATGAACTCAGTGTCCGATCGCTTCGGGATGGGCGCCGCCATAGGAGACCCCCACCCGTACAGGCTGAGGCATGGTGGTCCCAGTCGGGACGTGCTCATGAAGCACCGCACGCTCCAGGAGGTGCAGAAGAGAGGAAGGTGGAAAAGCTTCAACTCAGTGAGGCGGTACGAGAAAGGGGGGAGGGTGACACAGCAACTTCAGGCCTTGCCAAAGCCAGCACTCGACAAGGCAATCGCTGCCGCAGGATCCATCGAAAGGGTGGCGAGTGGCCGGCACTAAAGGTGTGCAAGCCGGTCGGGATGAGGATTTATCTCCTCGTCTTTTCAAAACATAGCTCGCTGAGCCGGGCTGTCTCGCAGATCTGTGGAGATCTTGTTTTGCTGTGGGACGTTCACTTCGGTCCTGAGTATGACTTACGCAATCCTGCAAAAAAACATCTTGTTTACCAGTGGGTGCGTGGAGGTGGGTTAAGCGGAATCGTCGTGCTGACTCCTGCTGGTACCTTCTCGGTTACGTCAACTCTTAGAAGTGAATCATATCCCATGCGTTTGCCAGGTCTGAAGTCGCAGCAGCAGATCAGCCTCGCCAACGGGAACCTCTGGCTCCGCTTCTCAGTGCGACTTGTCACCTTGTGCTGGAAACTGTTCGTGCCTGCAGTGCTTGCTAACCCGTCAAACTCGAGGATCTGGCTGACTCCCCCTATGTCGGCCTTGCAAAGACTTCCTCGGGTCACGAAGGCTGGCTCACAACTGTGCTGCTGGGAAGGCACAACGCGGCGAAGCATCACTTTCATCGGTGTGAACCTCGAGGTTGAGCCGCTTCGCGACAGCACGCACTGTCCTAAAAGGACCTGCCTTTTCACTGGCCACTCTCACTCTAGGTGGCTTGAAGTCTCCCCAGAAAGGCGCAGCAATGCGTGGGCTCATTTCTGGCCTCCGCGTCTCAGCAAGGCTGTGGCTCGGTGTTTCTACGACTTCGAAGTCAAGGCGTTGGCCACGAATTTTGAGCACCATGTGAGACTGATGCACGGTTAGCACCAGGAGGCAAGCAAATATGGGCCCTGGACTCTTTTGCATCAACGATCGCTTGCAAATATGGGGGCGACTCCTGTTTTCCGA